ATATTGCTATAGAATATGTTTAAACTAACAGGATCGAAACACGAGGCTATTTGATTTGTACGAGGGGGAATAGCCCCAGAGTATTAACTCGATTGCCGAGTGTTTTGATGTTCTTTCTCTTTTGTATCGTAGTCAAACATAGAAACACGTTCCCTGTTGTCATAATATGAAACCTCAGAAAAAAAGAACCAATGAACGAGCATCTGAATATGATATTTCTATCGCTTTTCCTTTCTCTGCCGTCACAATAAGTAAACCCCAGCAAAAATGAGCCACTGGAGTGCGAATAACTAATACCTGCATTCCAGTTAACGCACTGTGCATGTATATCATTGTATATGTATACGATTTAACTCTGACTCATTCACAAGAAAAGTCCCCAAACTATGATACAATTATACTTGTTTCATGTACAGCATGAATAAATACAACTTTAAGATGGGGTGTGCTCGACAAGTTGTAAATGTTGCAATTACAGAAAGAATACGGATTAAAGGATGATCAGTTTTCATTCTGGACATTTTTAAGTCTTTCCCGGGCCTATCAGATGATGATAATTCAACAATATTCTCTAAGTCTTTTATAGCAAAAACTAAAAGATTCCTTTAACGATTTAACACAAAACGAATAATTATGAGACTCTCCTACCCCTTTTTCTCTTGTGTGTAATTGAATTACTACTTCTTTCATACTCCATATATATTTGTTTCTATTATACGTATGGTTATAAATATTTTTCTCAGAAAATTTTACATCACCAGTTCGACACCGAAATATTTAACAACTAAAAGGAGAAGAATTCTATAAGACCTAGTCTATCGTTCTAATCCACTTCTTTGAATATTGTCAAATTTTGTATGTGTATATATTTCAAGTGTTATTATGTACATATTCTGAGAATAAATATGTTTAAACTAAGTCTTTCAATATTCTCAAAACTATACTGTTAAACCATTATTATAATATCAACAACATCGAGTACAATGACTTTACTAGATTTACCGATTTAAAGCAAGGATTTCATTGTGTCAGTTTCATCTTCAGATATAGTGGAAGTCTATTAATAATTAATAATAATAATAAGTCAAGTGTGTTGTCTAGCAGAAATGATTGGATATACGTAATTCACCTCACTTGAAAAAGGAACGTTTTCGTAGAAAATAATAAAGAAATTGGAAAAAGTTTATATTCTTTTATCACTTGACCTTTTCCTTAACACATGATCGGCCGTTTTTCAACTTGGCTCATTTACATTCAATTGGGAAAGATTGATAGATTCAAAAGATTGAACAATGGTAGACAGAGCAGAATTTGAAGAGGGTAAGTGTATATATAGAAATTATTATGTTAACAAGCTTTTTTTGTTATTATGAATGATTTCAATATAATTTTGTTCATTTTTTATTTATATTAGCAAAAATGTTATCAATTATTTTATCTTAAGTGGAAAAAATTTGTAAATGATGGAAGACCTACTTTTACAGCTGCTGTTTCATATTTTACAAAAATAATTCGACGACATTTATAAGTCTAATTGTTCAATGTATAAATTATTTATCTAAGGGAAAAATTTATGTAAATGATTGAATACATACTTCAAAAGTATCGGTTTCATATTTTACAAAAAATAATTCGACAACGTGTATCGTAGTTAATTTTTGCCATGACGTATTTTCTCACAGCGTAGAAATATAAGCAAAGTAGAAAATAATAGCAAATAGTCACGTAAAACTCGTAATAATAATAATAATAATAATAATAATAATAATAATAATTATTATTATTATTATTATTATAAATAATAATAATAGCATTCATTCATTTGTAAGTAGTTACATGAAACTGTATTAGCATTAGCAAAAAGTCACTTGAAACTGTATAAAAAGAATAAGTTAACTTAAAACTGTTGATGTAGTAGCGGAAAGTTACAGGACAAGAACAATTTTTTACACAGAAGTCTTAATTATTTAAAAAGACTACTTTATCAGGTATTGTATATACCATCTACTGCGAGTAGATAAATTGAAATGTTGAAAATAATTACAACTGTAGAAATAATCAGCAAGTACAATAGAATTTAATATTAGAATTAAAATAAAAATTGTATACAGATGGTACACTCACTCATGTGTTATAATTGAACTGGTAATCATGCATGTTTATCAAATCATCGTAATTTAAATAACAAAAAAAATATTATCGATTATTGTTTGGCAATATTAATTTCCGGGATGATATTCGCTAGTTTCCGTAATTTATAACGATTTACCTATTATTTTTTAATGATAGTTAAGTTCACAATACTTTTATTTTCATTTGCCGATAGCCCAGTGGTAAGTAGGATGGCATTGCAATCGCGAGGTTGCAGGGTCGAATCCCGTTATATTTCCATCACTATTTCTTTTATTTACATGCAGCATTAGTGGATAAATCATTGGGTTTATTTACTTATTTATGTATTGATTTATCTATTTATTTATTTCTTAACTTTGATATACATGCCTATGTAATTCTTCATAATTTCAATATGTAATGTCGTACAATGGTTGACTTGCACAATCATAGTAAACAAGTAAAAATGTATTTTGATGAAAAAAAAAATGAAAAAAATAACGCAATTTTTATTGTTCCACTCAGATTCGAAATAACAATACTTAAATTGAAACTGAAAGTCTTTATTCTTTGTCACTTAGGCTATTGAGGCAAATTTTGTGGTTATACATAGAAATGTATACAATGATGCCATACTTAAAAATTCGTAAGACCTCTTGGAAATCCGATAATTACAGACAAAAAGTCATTGAATATTCAAATGTCCCAGGTCAATGTTGACAAACAATACATTAAATTTATGAACACTTATAAACCAGAAGTGCATGGGAGGCAACTGAGAGTCTTCAATCCTGTAAAATGCATGATAATTGTTAGGTAACCGTCAAAATTTGTTAAAAAAGATTACATGTTGTTACTATAAATGTTCTGTCACTTGTTTGTTTCATGTAAACCTTTTTAATTAGTCAGTTATTACCTCTTGTAATGTAAGCAATTATTTAATATGAAATTAACGGCATAGGGGCCAAGGAATTATCAGACAGTAACTATCAATGATAATAATTACACTGTAGCGTTACATCTAGGTTGTGCAATTGACAACACCACTATACTTCTCGCAAAAATTTAACTTCGAAACACTTTGACAAGTAAGTCATAGGATATCGATAACTTATTTAGGCAGAGCACAGATAGGATGGACGTTAGGGTCTTACGGATTATGTGCTCCATTTTTGTGTAACATGAGTGCCAATGCGGTGTATCTTATGGTGTTATCATTGGATGTCCAGGCCCTATGTAAGGACTGGCCTTTGACCAGCTGCCTTGTGTTGTAGAAAAAAAGACGAGCGTATCTGTGTTATGGATTCATTGATAAAACTACCCTCGGAAAGCCCTTACTTTTAAAGTCAACTCTAGCCTTATACATGACGTTTCTCGCTCTGCATGATTTGAATTTAACAATGATATCCCAGGGTTTGTTAGGCTGGCCAACTCAGACATGACGAGACCTGCCAATGTTTTCTAGTAACAACATTTAGTACTTGAATGTGCTATTTAGAAATGGGTTCGTACTTCTTATGACATGGCGTCATTTTCCTTTCTAGATTCAACATCAGGAACACCACTTCTCCGGTGTTTGATAACTTATTGTAGTGTAAATTATTGTCAGCGTCTGTTTCTTATTTGTCTATGCGATCTTCCAATTTAGTAACATGTTGCCGCATGTCATCACGTTCACTCTCGAGTTGTTGATTTTTTTTATTTCAAACTTGCTAGTACACCAGCAACGATAGCGTTCACCTGCTCATCGACATTTACTATTGTAGTTGTATTTCAGAGCATAAAATTCATTTTGCTATAGCAGTTATATCGACATTGTCGAGAACTATGTTGGTTCTAATGGGGAAGTGAAGTCGCGTTACTTGTTGTCTTGTGCTGGTCTAGTACAGCAATCTTTATTTACACTTATTGTCACTAAACTTTAATTTTGTTAATTCTTTTTTCGTAGGATAAGTGAGCAATAAAGTCAATTTTTAAAATAGGGTTTCCAGTAAATTTTCATATATCTTATGGCAACACCTACATGTTGAATAATTTACAGTAAATTGTTCTATTGTGGAAGGTATGTAATACAATAAATAATTATAATACAAAAATACATGTCCGTTGATAGCAGTCTCTGACGTAATAACAAACCACGAAAGAATTATATATATTGTTGTTGTTGGTATACATGATCCAAACTAACATATATTTACATAACAGAAAATGGCATGGTCCAGAACAAAATATTATTATTTATGACATTAACGTAAATACAAAATCATTTAGAACTTAATCAACATTTTTCAAGTAATAATTTAGTATAAGAATATTTAGATGATACATTACTATTTTTTGTCAAAGTTTGAAATACACTTCTGGAAAACATGTGTCCATTGTAGACCGATCCACTTTAAGTATGACTTTAATTTGTGAATGACTTTGACTGTCATTACGATGATACAAACTATGAAAATTTACTTAAGAACTGAAACGTTCATTGATGTCTTCAATATCGACATCATTTAAACATAATTAACATAATTACAAATATACATAACATATAAGTAAACATAAAACTAGGCACCCGGCCCGATGGGCCTATATGTCACCATGGCAAATGATATTCATTATAACATGCTATAAAATATGAAATACATTTATGAAAGTTCTTAAGATGATATGGCGGTTTACTTCACAATTCGAATAAATAATCTGAACAGTCATATCTTAAAGTCCTCATGATTCATGAATACATAACAGATCTTCTAGAAAAGTAAGCTTTCACAATATATTTAGCTGTTTTCCTAGGATGAATATTTAGTAAAAAGGCAAGTTTATCATCAGATGACAAACTTGTATAAACAGTTTGCAAAATTATATCACCGTACACATTATTGTATTCGTACATGTGTGTTTTCTTTTTGCAGAGCCCGAGGCTGCAATTAGGAACAGACGTTTTAGACTCCAGGTAAATAAATGTGCTGACAATTTGTAAAATTCTTTCATTTTATTTTGGTTAAACGTGGAAAACAATCTTCAATATTTAATTTTTACAGACATAAGACATTTCAGTCGGTAAGTTTTTCTAACATCACGCTTAAGTCAAGAAATTGATACTAATAATGTCGGTTTTTTAAAGACAGTAATTTGTAAATGTTTGGTAAAATAGTTTGCCAGCTTTTATATATGCACATTCTGACCGATGTTATGCTATTCAGAAAATCACTTTTGCAAGGTTGTTTTAATGTCTGAGAAATTTACTAGTTTTTTTATAGGCAATACAGTGTAATACAGGCAAACTGAAAGTGTCAACAAAAAATCAAGTCAGTTTGTGTCTTTTAACTTATAAGTATATGATTATATATTGTTATAAACATTGCGAATGGCTGTAAAGACAAATGTTTTAACACTTAATTGATGATGCTATTTTGTATACTGCTATACCTTTTTAAATTTTACTTATAGGGTTGTATAAGTAGGAATAAGACATTTCTGGTATTTCTAGCGGCTTTTGTCATTGTTGTGAGCTGTTTTATATACATCGTATATATTCAAACAAAAGCTAACAGGTACGTGTTATTGTTTTATTCTATTTAAACGTTTTAATATTTTCATTCATGAACACAATAAATTATAGAACACGGAGTTCGCAACATTTTACAAATAAATAAAAAAGCTGAAAAGCGATTGAGATGGTGTAATCATTTGACATGTTCAGATGTATTATGTGTGAACACAGTATCGGTATTTGATTTTGAAACGTTAACATAGAAATTTACAATTTGGCCATTCAATGATAATAATATCTGTCATATGTTGCCGAGTTTTTTGCCCAAAGGCGGGTTCCCGAGGGACGGATATTCTAATTCGAACCGCAAACATATGTCAGATAAATTATCCTCATATTCTATCATATTCCATTGTATTTAAAATTCCTTACCTTAATAAAGCAATTTTCCATGAAATTTTATGTCAACGGAAATGCCAGTCCAATATACAAGAAAATACTTGTAGCAAAGTAAGTTGATGCAAGTGATGGTAAAACAAGTTTGCCGGATGACATAATCAACTTTGCTTAGCTATGTTTTAACTGATTCCGGTCATGTTGCCTTATCATCTCTTTGAGGTCAGTAAGCATCAGCATGTACCACAAAGTCACCCTCTTAAACAAAATAAGAACGCTTTACTATATAATTGTTTTAACTATTTGAAAATTTTGAGATCTGCATTCTTAGCTGCTTCATTTTACTTCAATTCAATTTAGTTTTTATGCTTATTTAAATATTTTACTTCAGGGATTTGATGGAAGTACTTCCATCGTCAAATGGAATACTTAGACAGATACAATCAGACAATACGCAGAAACATTATCTGAATATTGGTAAATAGTTTGGAAATAGATAATCAGCCTGAAGAGCTTTAAATATGCTTAATCAATTCAAAATTAGATAACATTTAAAGATCCTGTAACACATTTTTGTCATGGTCTTATATAACAAATATGATGCCCAAATAAAGATTTATCAATATTGTAAGTTCCAAAAAGCATTATTTATAAAGATATAACCGAATTTAATATTTCATGTAAATAAAAGGAGGTAATTAGATTTTTTTCTCTAAATTTTCAGTCAAATTTTCCAATAAGAAATGAATGCATATAATTTAAAGATTACATTTTATATTTACAAATATTTGCAGTACATATTTAACATATTCTTTGAGTTTTGAAAATTGTTGTATTAGCATAATTATATACATATATAATGTAATAACGTATGAGTGGTATCGATGTCAATTACAAAACATACAGGATCTTTAAATAGTAGAAAAGACTCGATTTAGCTAAATATGGATGTAAGCTTTAAAGACCCTGAAATCATAAAACTGAGACTTGTATTGGACTTAAAATCAGTTGATACTAAAGAGTGTGTTTATCCGATAAAATATAAAGTAACATTTTGGCCCAATCTTTCGTATAACATTATTGTCTTTAACTTTATATACACGAAAAGCAGCCATGATTTGTTTGTAAAAAGATTTTGCGAAACACAAGACTAATGTTTAAATGTCTGAAGTATTTGTACAGGTTTAAATGATGTGTGTATGCTAAATATACGATAACAGAAAGAAATTTTACCTCAAAGTTGGAAAGAATCAGTTCTATAGTAGTAACTAGTAAATTGTATATTTTCATGAATTGCATCAACCATTTAAGCACTAACAATTCTATATGCTAAATCTAAATGCAGGAATGCGCCAAGACTATCTACTCCAAGATTGTCAAGGGACTCACTTTAAACTTTCGTTTCCGAACATCGACTATGCTTTAATGGGTTACAACATATTGCGTGGCTTTCCTCTTGCAACTGGGCATGACCCTGGCTTTACGTACCCGATCTTTGCTGCCAATTACGAAAACGGAAAGCAAACAGCCGATTGTCGCTATAGGGTCCCACAAGGTCTTGTTGTGGTCCCGGACGTGTCGTGCATTACGTCATTTACATCAAAAGTCGTTCAAACACTATACGAGTTTGCAAATTCACTATCAGTGTCTGCCAGTGTAAGTGGTGGTGAATGGGGTGTAAGCTTTTCTGCAAGCGCCGGTTACAAGGAATCTTCGTCAGAAATATCAACTGGAGAGTCAGTTTACATACTCTCTTCGGCAAGCTGCAATTATTACTTCAGCAAACTAGTCAAGCGGTCACCTCCACCACTAGATCCTGTTTTTCTTAGCTGGGTCAAACGATTAGATAAGACAAATTTAATTGATGTATATATAGAATTTTTTGACACATATGGTACCCACTTCCCTACTGAAGTCACATTTGGAGCAAGATTTACGTACGAACATAAAATGGAATCAAAGAAATACGAAAATCAAAGTGAGAGTGGAGTCAACGTTGCTATTTCTGCAAGCTACTCTGGTATTGTTAGTGTTGGCGGAGGATTTTCTATGGATTCTTCACAAAAACAAAAGGCTTCTGAATTTTCAAAATCAGTGGAAACGAAAACAATTTCAGTTGGAGCAGCGCCTCCTGCAAACGGCGACGCAATGACTTGGGCTTCAACTGTAAAGGAAAGTCCTGTACCATCTAGTTACAAACTTGCATCTATAGAGGAGCTATTTACAGAGAAGTATTTGAATGCTGCAGAATTGAACGTAAATCTCGCCCGTGTTGCAAGAACTATCCGTGAAACAAAGCGTGATTATTGCCTAAGTTTGATATCTAAAGGTGAGGTGGAGTCATGCGAATTACTGTCTCCGGGATTGATGCTTGATCGAACAAGACTTCATAAACACTATGATTCAGTAGTTTTATCGAACAAAGAATGCATCGACCATTGTTTGAAGCTTATTGACTGCGTTGCAATTACATTTTGTGATTCTTGTGGAAGTCAAAATAACCATTATCACACTTGCTACATGTACAGCACAGCAAACTCAATATCTGCAGAGGCGGACTACAACTGGAAAGCCATGCTGTTAATCGGAAAATCAAGCAAAAAACTTACACTCGATGAAACAGATATTAAAGGTAGTCCAAGGCAGTTTGATGCAGAAGATATAGACGACAGAAAGAATATCACTATAACAAACTGTGAACAGTTTTGTATGAAAGATGCCCATTGCATTGCCTACAGCTATTGCGATTCCGGCGAAGTTGAACAAAATTGCAAACTGTACAGTTCTGACAATGTTAGGGGTTTTGAAGAAAAATCAAGAACAACGACCATCTTTGTTGCAAAATAAGCAGATCGATCAAATGTGATCGTCACCATATGATTAAACAAAAGTACATTTACTTCGAGAAGTCGGCATTCATTATGAATCATATTTCTCATACAGACAATTTTACAATTATTTGTTTCATTTATTTCATTGTATTGCTATGCATATGCAAATCAGAAACGTGTGCATGTACTTTAAATAAAATTATTGTTTTGTGTTCAAAATTGCTATTTACATGTATGACCAACGAAGTATCCTTGGCGTCGATCATATAGCCTATAGTAAGATTGTTAGCCTGACCAGTAAACTAATGGGAGTGACATGGTCGATATGTAATTAGCGTGCGTCATTAGCTGATCTTGTCTGTCAAAGTTACATTTTTTTCTAGCCAGAACTGTAAATGATTAGAATACACGATAGCATTGGTTGTTTCTGTGAACTGGTAAAGTGCAAAAAGTGTACAATGTAAATTGTCAAAGTGGAAATAACTTTGAATCCGACATTTTCGTTACAATATATACTCCTGATTCTGTTGACTGTTATCTTTTTAAAGCATTCAATGGTTATGTAACTAACCATGTACTGTTACTTTAAAGAACATGTGTATATTGATAAAAGTCATCGTTGAAACTAACACTTATCTAAGAGTTTTTGGAGCATTTTATGTTAATGTTTACATTGAAAAGTTTAACAAAGCTTGAAAAAGGAGGTATCGCGAAGGCAGTGGACTATAGTATACACCAACATTAGCGCATCTTTACGCTATGTTTGTAAATATCACAAATGACATCGCGTCACTAGTGTAAAATCGTTTTATGATGGATTATTACACTCCTACGCCTTGGTTTATGTGATGAATTGTAATTACACAATATCCCTAGTCCCGGCTTAATCCATATTCAATTCTCAACAGTTAAAGTATCGGAAAACTATCTAAATTTATTTATATGTAAATTTTATGTAGCGAAATTGTTAATTCATACCAAATGTATATATAAGTGTGCGTGCGTGTATGCGCGTGTGCGTGTGTGCGTTTTGATTGATTTTCTCACTTCCACTGTTAAATCATAATTTGTAACTTTTCTCTTGAAATTATCCAGAAAATACATATTATTAAGGTTAGACTTTGTTAGAATGGCTGCTGCTAATGTTGCAATAACTTGTAGCCCTACTTATATGTACATTTATTTTTGTGTTATTCATATCTTACATGTATTATAAAGTTGTAATAAAATATCATTTAACCAAAAAAGGTATCGGAATAAATTATCCCAAAGATCCAAAAAATATAACAAGTCTGAAATAAAGTAAAGGGCACATTTCACGGCTTCAACATATCACTTCAAACCTGCTGTGTTGACAACACAGGGACGTCGCGGGAAGCGCTGATTGTTATCAGGTCTGGTGGAATCCATCATAGCCAAATGTACGTCTTAATTGATGTAGAAACACTTTAACAAAAATGATTTTTTCATATAACTCCTCATATTTTATCATGATTATTACATCCGGTTGTTACATAAGTTGTCATTACGTCAGCAACATTTTACCAGATCACATTCACATGCAATACTGAATTTCTTTTCGCCGTGTACAGTGTCATATTTTTCAATTCTATACATTTAAGAAGAATATATCTTACCTTAAGGAGATATATTTGCACTAGAATATTTCTATCACCCTTGTATTGAACGATAACGCAAATAAATCAAAATGAATATACATGTTTTATCGGTTACTACTACTATATTATACAATGGGCTTGACTTTAACGATTTGAAACGAGGCTTATTTTACCATATTTAGTTTATAAGAATTTGTTTAAGTTCAATTGTGTTTGAAGCTATAAGCTTATAAAAACACTCTCGAATCCGTTCCTAGAACTATTCAGTATTAGGTAAAGAGTGTTAAGTTTCTTGCCCAAGGAAACATCGGCTTGTCCGCTACGGATTTGAACCCACACGGCCAACAATCCTGAGAATGCTTGTCACACGAGTCAACCACCAGTCGGCCATGCCACCAAACCATATAAAAATATTTTCGTCAATAGATTATTTTATAAGAACTTCAATGTTATTTCATCCGTTACTATTTTTGAAACAGTAGCGTATGAATTAACAAATTCATTTATAAGGGCGAATAACATCATTCTATCAAGAAAATGCGCCAAATAAATGATGAGTAAATAATACACATATTTACTTTTTCAAAAACCCATATGAGCATGAACAGTTCTATAACATAGCTGTAGAGTAAAACACACTTAAAACATTCATGAACATCAAATCATTTTAAAGGTTGAAAATGAAAGTTTGCAAACGAAAAGCACAAGAAAATGAAAATATTATTAACAACAGATGTGTTTCAATGTATTGGTAATAGATCTTTGTAAAAATAAAATAAAAAGGAAGTGCATCTGTACTTCTGCATATACCTGTATATATTCTGAGAGTGACATTAAAATTAAGCAAGTACATGTAATTCAATTATTATGCTAAATACTTAATTGAATGTTACAGATGCAGTACATTTGTATATGTAAATGATGTGTAAATTTTATATGAATCACATTTAAATGGTACATATATTTTGCAAATACATTCTGCCAAGAATCCATCATTATCCATCATAATATTATCAAAATACAAGTTGTTTTCCACAGCGAATTTTAAACAGAGTTCAATAACTTATCACGTAAAGGTCACATGTTCATTAAAAGTTACTTAGTGTTACAATATGTTTCAAACATGCGGAAATAGTCGATATGTTGCTATTGCTCACAGATACAATTCGACCAATCAAAGGTTCTAACTTTCCCGCCATTTGAACAATTAATTTTTAAAGAAGCAAACTTGTAATAGATGTTGGTTTTGTTAAAAGTTATCATAAGAAGAAAAGTCTATACGATAAATTGAGTTATGGCATGTACCAATTTGCATTATTAAAGTGTAAATGACTCTAACTAAACAAAGTGCTCATTATTTTTTCTGGCACATGATATTTTGAAAAACACTAAACATCCGTTGAAGCAAACCAGTACTAACGTGTTGTTTTTCTACAATAAATTTTGTTTGATTCAAATAAATGTAAAGGAAAATAAAATTGCAATAAATCTACATAACATGAATTTAACCATTTGCGATACCCATTGAATAGCTGAAAGTAAAAGGTAAGGACCAGCTTCATTGTTAAATAGCAATTGCTTCTTGTCGGCCGGTTTCGTCAAACATCGAACAAGGTCCTCGAAAACAATAGTAAAATACAGAGACCGTCCAAACATACGCTACGAATCTAAACATGTAAACAAATAGTAATTTATAGTTTATTCCAAAATATACAGTAAAAGTGCACCTAAATTAAATAAAATTTATAAAAGTAAATGTTAACAGTACATTATTTTATATACTTTTAATTGTTCTAGAAACCGAAAGTATAAAATGTTTATTTGGTTACATTAATTCGGATTTGGTTTTATTTCTACATCATTTCGCGTTTTTAAATTAATTTGGAATGTCAGGTTTGTCATTGAACGCCGCCTTTCCTTGTTGATCTTGTTTATAATATTTTATTTTCAGTCATTATTGTACCGAAATATACCTTATTTTACTTTGAATGATTCGTTATACATTATACAAAGATTACACAGTTTGTTTTTGTTTACATCTTAAACTGTTTCAAATCCGTATTCAGTCCGAGGTTATTATGAATAATAGTCGAGGTCTTCGATTGGTGTAAATTTAAATGAACACAACATTAATAAAGAGAAATGTTGAGGTCAGCTTTCCTGTTAAGAAGAAACAATTAAACATTCGTAGTTCATTTTTCATTGTTTCGTATGATTTGAAAAATTGGTTTGTTAACCGTAATTACTTGACCTAATCTATAATTGTTTTGCGGTTTTTCAACTTTGCTTATTAACATATTTTTTTATGGTGATGCTACACAAAGCAAATTTCCCGGATGGAAAGTGCCGTTTAAGTAGATATGAATTAATTACGTGTTTACTTGTTAAAGTGCTTTCCTTTCTTTTATCTACCTCGTAATTCTTTTAGACGGAAGTTTTATGATTTTTTAATTCTAATTAGGATATGGCAGGAAATTATCTCTTCATAAAAGTTAGCAAGTTCGAAACAAATAAACATGTAGTAAAGAGGTTTAAAGGGAGTAGAAACGGAAATGTTGGAATACCTACTTCCTATACAACAAAAGTGACCGTTTCTTATGTCAAGAAAAACATTATTTCCCCAATTAGGATGATATTGATGCCAGTCCAGTAATCCAGATCAGTATAATTCCCTTACATTTTGAATAAAAGCATGATACATATTTAATTGCTAACAAGTACTATAACAAAAAATAGTCAGTAACAAATTTCAAAACAATATAACAAACAAAAAAATTACTAAATTATAAAATTACGTCGGGACAAAATTAGAACATGCTTACAGTACCTGAAAATTGAAATTATGAAAATCAAGAAGTATCTTTTAAAAAAGATACTCGGCAGAAGAAAAACCGGTTAACTTGCATAATTTAATGTTTGTTCTTAGTTTTCCATGCAAAATCATATAGAAATGTTATTATAGCCTGCATAACAATGACATAATAATGTCCTGTAGGGTTATTAATCTTGAAAAATGGAACACTTTAAGATGTATGTGTTTCTTAACAAACCTGTCGTGTTTCGGTATGGGAACTCATTTTCTAACACCAAGTTCTACCCAGTGGGTAAGGCAATTGTTTTTTTTTATAAATTCTTGATTAATATGCGAAAATATATATAAATGATACACATTATATCAATTGAACACACCAATAATCGTATAATATATTAGACACTTATTATAACAGTACCTGATAATTTCTGATATTATTCTTGTTATTTTGGACAAAATTTGATACAAAATTAACTCAGTAAGTTCTTACGTAAAATAGACTGTTCACTACAAAATCCTCCTCTTTTGGGTACCTCTAGGTGGTGAGGAGGAGTAACATATGTCCGTTATGGGGGTGCACTGCTGTGCGCCAGTATGACG